AGATGGGGCCTCCTTTAGGACAGCTCAAAACACTTAATTCTGTCTTATTAACAAGCATTGCCGCTACACAGGTGAATCTATGAGTTACACAATTTATGTTCAGATTCAGGTGTTCAAGATTCTTTAATCTCTGTAGTCTGCAGACATGAGTTAATAATACTTCACTTTTTTATGTGGCTGTTGAGCTTTCTTGGTACCCCAAAGTTTTAATCATGAAAAACATTCTGTGAATGTGGGTTCCTATTATTTATCAAGGTATGAGAGAAGGGAAAAGTTACCCTACTAAAATTATCAGGAGTACAAATGACAACATACTGTATCAGGTGCACAGCTTACACATAAACTAGGTGTGAGGAATGGTACACAGATGATTGATTGCTGTGCAACATAAACAGTCTCTGCAGTTGGTCTGCAGAGGACCAGCACAACTGTGGCTTAATGGACATGATCTGCTAAATGCTATGGTTTCAGCAGTCTGTAACCATGAACCGGGGCTCCTCTCTTCTAGTTTAATTCCTTTTTTGCACAGGAAGTAAATGCCTTTAAGTTGTCAGTATCCTTGATACCACAGTCTTGGTTCCAGCATGCTGGCTCAAAAACTGATACAAGATGAAGTTTGGCAATTGGATGAAAGTTGTTTTTCTTTTCAAATTGCTTAACGTCATTGCATTATTTTCTCTTACAGATCGCATTCTCTCAGCACAACAGTATAATGGACTTGGTGCAGTTCTTTGTAACATTTTTTAGGTAAGTTGAATGGTTAATATTTGGTTTTAAAAATGATTACATACAGTAGCAGTTTCTCATTTAATCACATTTAATCTTTTTTCAACATGCCAAGTGTCTTTGTCAAGCTCTCCATTATTCATTGCAAAAGTTTTAATAAATTATATTACATCTGCACAAGGTGCATGTATATTAGTACTTGTATTGACTAGTCAGCGTTGTTTGGTGCTCAACAACACTGGAAACTGAAGCAGAAATGTTGATGGCCAGTGTTTAAGCCAACAAGTGTAAAAGCATGTATAAACATTTGTATCTGTGGAATATGCAGACTTTAGATACTCAGCATGCTACACTATATAACAGTTTCTTGGACTTATCAGGCATCTGTGAGCTCATAATGTTCTCAGTGTCAAGTAATCATCAGCTTGTGATTTCAAATCAGAGGGATGTAAAATACTGTATAAGTACCAGTTTTCAAAAAAGATAATCTATTTTATATCAGGAAACTAATTTCTTAAATGTTTTTGTTAAAAAATATTTAAGTGTTAACTATAAGGCACCCCCTTGGAATAAATTGTCAGATAGATTATTTGATGAGCAAAATGGTTCTAATTGTGCCCAATGTCTGCAGGCCAGCTTATGCAAAAAGGGACTGTTTTAACATTAATTGTCACCATTTGCTCATTCTGGTTAAATGGTGTGCTTTTGCTTTAAGCAACCTTCCAGGGAGCATGACCTTCTTCCTACACGCTTGGATGCGACTAAAAACCCTAGTCACTTCTGTCAGCAAACATGAGCAATCATTTATTTTTTCTTTAGTAAATGTCCTCTCTCTTTTAAAAACAATAATGAGATAGTCACACCTGAAATTAGTTCTGTATCTCAGTTGTGTTATTCAGTATACAGTAGGTTGCACTGGCTTTCTCAGACTGCTATTCTGATATCATGACTGCATTCTGCAAAGGAGTGGGTTTAGTCTGTACTTTAGGATATAAATATTTGCTATATCTATTTTTAATCTTTAAATGTTAAGAATTTACTCACAAATGTCAGAATCACCTTAATCCGTTTGTGAGTAGCATTGTTGTGTTATTTGAAACAAAAAGGAGTCTGAGATGAAGTGAGTATGTTAATACATTATTTCTCAGTGAACATTTGTGTTCCTGCGTTTACACAGCTCAAGAGGATCTTGATAAACACAGGGTTGAATTTTCAATAAATGAAAGAGCAGTCTCACTGTGCCATGCATGTCCTCACATTCAGTTGCCTTAACAGTAATTTAGAGGCAATTTTGCTATTCACAGGTGAAGATAGTGTTGAGTGACAACCTATTTTGATAATATCTTAATGATTTTTCGGACAACCTATTGTGATAAGAGCTTCAATGTTTTGTCTCCCTGTTGTGTGGTTAAAGTATATTATCATTGATTTGTTGCTGATTCTGAAAAGAAATAACAGTTGATTTTGTATTTTTTTTATTCCCAGTTAATTTCTAAGGAATGTAATCTACCTTAATACTAGAAAATGTTTTTTTACAAAGATAATTAATGCACTTTGCACATTATGAAAACTAGTACTTCAGGGTCTTTGAGTTTAGCTTAGCATTATGTGATTGACGATGGGGGTCTAAGTGGCTTGTAATCCAAAAGATTCCTTATGCTTTCAAAAGCACATTCATAGATTAAACACATAAGAGTGTGCCACATAATGTAATTTATAAATCACAAAAGTATCTCCTGTTTGGCTAAAACAGTACCTCTTAGGTCTGTGTGCAGAAATTGTTTTCTGTTCTTAGTGTTTTATTCTCTCATTATGACCATGGCCTTCCATTGACAAGAATGGAAGTGAAGTTCCCTTAGCACTATAGTACTGATGCTGAGTGTGTAACAATCTCCCTGCAGGCAAGGGGGTGGGAGAGGGGCTGATTTGATTTTAAGTGGCATTAGAGGGCAAGAGGTGATGTCAGAGGATAGGATCAAAGTTAAGTGGGTGACAGGATGAACAACATGAACTGTACGTCATTGAGTATAGTAGTAGTAGTCTTTTTAGCTACATATTTGTGCTGCGTTTTTCCAGTGTTGAGCCTTACTCCAAGTTGAATCCATCAAGGTCAGGTTTCTGAACTCTTTAATAGCAGTCTTCATTAAATATTACTAATAATTTAAAAACAACAACTTTTCATGACTGATGCATAATTAGTTCATGTCAAATAACAGAAATAATTGGAATTCATTTGGGATGCCAAAATTGCCATGGAGAAATGCTGTAGACATTCTGTAAGATGCATATAAAAAGAACAAATTTGCTAACAAATTATAAAGTGTTGTCAAAATATTTAGCACCATGCTATGCGTACAGGTGTTTTTGCCTAATGAGAAAGCAATGCAATTAACCTACAAATGTTCCCCGTAAATATTTCAGTGTGTTAAAGAAAGAGTCTCAAAAGGCAATTTTAATGTGCATTTTTCATTTTTTAACATTAAGTAGTTTGTTTTTGCTGTTTCAAAAAGGTGCAGTCACCCTGGTGTAACATGCTTTATTAATGTGGTACTTTCTCCACCATTTTTTTAATAGTGTGAGACTGGTAGTTGTGTGGTAGGAATTTTTGGGTTTTTAGTTTATTTTATAATTTGACTGCTGGACTTATAGTTGACCTAAGACTCCCAGGTGTTTTGGTTTAAACTGAAAAAAATCTAAAGCCTGGTTTGTGTGGCTAAAAGCATAAATAAAATAATGTTTTCTTATTTGTTTAGGCTGTTTTAGGAATTCCTATTTCTAATAAAACTAATAGACATTACTGATGCACCAAACCTGGCTTTTGTTTGTGTGCTGTAGAGGATTAGATTTATGTGTTTGGGTTTACACTGTGATTCTGTTTCGCTTGATCTGTGAATTATACAATGACTGTAGATGTTGAAAATGTATGTGCATCTTACTGTAACTTGAATCTCACAGAGATTTTAGTAATCTCAAGTCATCTCAAGGAATCAACAAAAGAGCCAGATATAAATCAGTAAATTAAACAGCATTAAAAGCTACAGTATAAAACTACAGTATAAAATTGTATTTTAAAACAAGATTTTGAAGTGCAAACTAACTTGGAAGATTAGATATGAGCTGGGAGATCATTCCACTGCCTTGGGGCAACAGAACAAACTGTATCCCGGTGTTTGGAGTCTCTTTTTAGAAACTGAACGAAGGTCAAAGAGTGTAAATACATACAGGTGTGTAGGGAGGTGACAATTCACTGATGTAGTTAGGGGCTAAACCCATTCAAACAAAAAGACGAACAACAGTATATTGAATTTAATTCAGAAATCTACAGGGATCAGTTAGACAACTATAACCGGTGATACATTCATAGACATTCCAATTTTAGTTAAGATCTGAGCACGTGAGGAATAGGAGACCGCAAACAGGCAAGTTCGGTACAGAGGACTGCCGGCAATAGCCAGATTCACTTATACACAATTCCACCCCTATGTCGTTGCATAGTGTGCTATATTTTGTATGTGTGATGAAAATCCGTACAGTTAGTACATGATGAAATAAGTGCACCCTTACATGATGAAATGAATGAAAATGCTAATGCTTTGGCTATAAGTTAATTTATCAACTAAAACAAACAGCTAATCACAGACCTATAGTAATTTGCTAAGATAAAAACATGAATCCCTCCTTTGCATCCAGCGGCTGTCTGCACCTTCTCTCTTCCATCTGGGATTACCACGCCACACTGTAATGAAATGGACAGTAAAATTGTTAGTGAGCCTGTAATGCCATCTTCAGTCTATCATTTCTGACACCACCAACACAACCGGGACCTTTCATCACAATACAGAAACAAGACCATGTTAAGATGCAGATGCTGGTAGTATGTAGATCCTAGTATGTTGTGCAGCTAATTTAAAAGTTGCATTTCACTTGTTTGACTTGGTTTCTTTCATATAATTCCGTTGACCAGACCAAATTACGCATTGCAAATATTACATTTTGCAGATGTTGAGACCCTATGTACTTCCTCCAACTTGCTCTAATAAAATATACAGCTGTATATATTTGTGCAAATTAAAGTCACTTTGGATAAAAGTCAGTCATCTTATGTGAATAAGATCACTTGTGTCTGTTAACATCTTTATTAATTAATGTGAGCATGAATTTGGATGCCATCAGCATTACAATGATGACCCAGTGACCAAAGAACTGGGCCAAGAACAGAACTTTGCAGAATGTGGATGTGATCAGCTGTTGTAGGGGGTTTCACTCATCCTAACAGCCCTCTCTTGTCTGTTCAAATCCATGGTATGATCTATAGGATTGTTAACAGACCGCAGCAATAACTGTTGTTTGTTATGTTTGGCGGGCGTGTGCACTTGGAAGTTCTAGACTTGCTTTCTGTAGTTTATTTGGGTGCCATTAAAAGAGAGAGGCCATTAAACATCATCTCTGCCCTGTGCCTTCCTATTAACCCCCAAAAGAAAAGGGTTGGCACTTCAGTATCTAAGGCAGAATGGACGTTTGGCATGACCAGAATGGATGCAAAACCATAGTAATAGTAATCACAGTTACTCTAAAGCATTATACTGTAACACGCTACAGTAATTCGGTAGTAAACATCACTGTGAACCAGCCTTTTCAGTCTTGTGTGTACTAGAACACTGGTGCTCACATCTTGGAGAAACTAGGCACTGTAGGGATATTAACACTTGGTGAAGTTTTGGCCGTGGCCTCACATTTGAACCTGTAAAACATTAATACAGCACATATTTACCAGTCTGAAATTTACTGAAGGAGCAGTGTGTGGATTTAAAGGCTAATGATAATGTAATACTATGCTGTTTGGGTGCAACAAATAGAGTGAAACCTTACTTTAGTATTTGATAAAAATGTGTGATTATGTTATATGTTATGTTAAGTGAATATTGAGGGAATCATTACATGAGTAAAAACCTCTTTAATATATGGTGCTCACTTGTTAACAATGTATCTTGGGAAATATAAATGGAAAACAAAATCTTTAA